ATGTATATTTGTCCTATTGCTCCACATACTTTAAGCCTCCCAATTATTAGCCAAGCTATAATTGGAGCTTTAGCTCTTTTGAAAGGAAACCACAATTGAATTCACACTGTAAAATAACTTGCGGGGGAAAAATTATTGGGTCCTTGATAATCTTACACATTGAATAGCTTTCACCGTTATCGAACGTGAAAGATTATGAACAGTCTCTACCTGGAGGTCAATTAACCTGAATTTATAGGATTTGAATAGCAAATAGATTGCAGCATGATTTTGTCGATCTCGTTTAGATACTATGTCTAGTATTTATAGGTATAAGCGTTTCCGTGTATCGTAGTGAAGGTCAAAATACCTGGAGGTATCCAGTACCTAATAGAGACATCTTCGCTTCCTGTATATGTTCCCAGTATTATAAACAGTCACAACAAACAATGCCAACAAAGAACATCTTCATAATACACAATATACACCTCTACTTCGACAAAGCTTATAAATTAAGAAAAAAAAACAATTCTCAGTCATTTATTTTCAATGACTTGGCCGCCGCCAGCGTCTAATCAAAGGCTAAATTAAACCTATATTGTGTAATTGACACAATGGATAGACTGTGCGTGCCACGACCTTAGAAGACGTTCTTTTTAAATATAGGAACGTAGAGCCATATGTAATGAGTTTCCGATATAAGCTCCTTTCTCGAGAGCACTCGAAACGTTGCTTATAATGTGTCATATGTTTGTCGTGGTCGTCTACCTATCTCTTCTAATTCTGAACCAAAATGGCAATTATAAGTATTTTCCGCACTAGTGCTTGCAACGATATCAAATGCGCAATTTCCGACGTAATAACAACTACCGAGAACAGGATACATGTATATATATATATTTTTTTTTTCAATTAGTTGGAAACGGGTCTACCTGTTCCGCTTGCGCAACGGCAAATTCTGTGAAGCGTTTCTTTGTTAAACAAACTATTAAAGATGATTACACAAAGGTTCAAAGAAGTACTGTTTACTTTTGCGGCTGCTGTTGCTCTGAGCAATGCCGATATCAAGATGAAGTTTATAATTAAAGTTCGTAAACTGATAGTTGAGAATACGTAGAGAGAGAGCGATCTTAGCATCCTTGCAAAGCTAATTAGGTTCATTTTGTCTTCTCTATCCTACTTTACGAGGGCGAGTAGTGTTTAACTAACATTTCAAACGGAGGCTGCGTCTTCTCCCGTTGGATTTTTATTTGCCCGTTTTGACCGCCATCCAACAAGTGCTAACGTTAAGTAGCGCAATGCGTGTCTTCGTAGAGTTGCTAAACAGGACAATTCAATTAGAAAAAATTAAGTACTTTCATAAGAAAGCAGCTAACTTAAGCACTTAACTGTGATCGTAGCAAGCCCAAAGGTCTACGGTTTGTAGAAAATTACCGCTGACA